AGAGCAGGAATTCCTCGGCAGAGGGGCTGGTGGTACTCAAATCCTGCTCTCTCCAGCAGTGTGCTGTGTGTTTTTAGATAGAACCGGTAGGTTCTATCTTTTCACTATACATTTTTATAACATGGGTATTTTCCCAACCCATTAAATATTTTTCAAACAATATCACTACATAATATTTCATTATCTTGCTAGACTAAAATGTATTTTCTTCTATCTTCCTTTACTTCAGATTCTACATAAAGTGTTTCTTCTTGCCTGGATGGTGTTGCTCAGTTGAGCCTCGGGCCAGAGTGAAGGCTGAAAAGCAGCTCTGGTAGGAGCGAAGTTGGTGCCAGCAGCCAGGAGAAGGAAGGCCCATTCTTGCACGAATCTTCATGCATCAGGCTCTAGTCTATATATATAAAACCCTAATATGCAAGTAGACCAAACAGTGGAACAACCAACATTACAACCAGTAGCTATGATGTGCAATGACCATCATGGGGCATGCACAGAACATGGTGGGCATCAGCTGCGTGGTGGAGCAGGTGAGTGGGAGCACCAGACCACTACAGGGCTCCAGTCACTGTCATCAGGGGGAGCCTCTGGTGGTTACTGAAAATTCTTTGTTCCCATGTGCCGTGGTCTCACCAGATGCTCACATCTGCTGCCTGCAACAGCCACCTTTGCACCTGCTGCTGACTCCAGAGTCACCACTCACACCCACTGCTGGTGCCTGGCCCCGATCACTTGGTACCATCAGCGGGTTTGAGTGGCAGCTTACAGCCCCGATCACCCCTCAGGGCTTCTTCACCTCCGCCTGCTTCTGAGGGGCAATCAGGGCTGGCAGCTGCCTATCGCACCTGCTTCTGGAAACAGCCTCACTCGCACCCTCAGGTGTGAGCCGGGCTGGCACCATCAGCTCCTGGGAACAGTGGGAGTGGGGCTGTTGGCAGACAGGAGACCAGGGTGGGAGGAACTGGGTCGGGGCGCAGAGGATGGGCCAAGACCCGCCTCTATGCTCACTGCAGCTTCGCAGCCCACAGTTCCTTTCAAGGTGTATGAATTCATGTACTGGGCCTTTCAATATATAATTTGAAGGTTGGGCTAACAGGATTTCCTTGTAGATTGGATGTTGGTATAAAGAGATTAATTTACCATGACTCTAAGTTGTTTGGCTATAGCAACTGTAAGATGAAGGTGCCATATTGTAGGGTGTAAAAGACTGTGTTTGGGATGAAGTTGAGGCACAATTCAACAAATGGGTAGAACATCTGGAGAGGTTAAACAGGCGGCGATATTCAAGTCTGCAATTTGGGGAGAAGTCTGAGCTAGAGATGCATTCTTGTTATTATTTTTTTTCTTTCTTATTTCCTCTTAGAATATCTTCACACACACATTATAAAGAAAAACATTGTCTAATAACTTCTGCCATTAAATAACATACCTTTCAAAGTAAAGAAAAATATAATTGTTAAAGTTTGGGACTATTTGGAAACTTCCAAGCAGTGGCTGTAATTAACATCACCTGAAAATTCATGAAATAGGACAGCCAGGTTTTATTCCCAGACCTGTGGAGAATAATGGCTTAAGAAAATTAGTATGCCAGAGGTGAAGAAAATATTCAACGAAGAAATGGTGTTGAACTAAAATAGCGATAAGGTTCCTTTATGTTTCCACAGTAAATAAACACCAGTTATTTGTCCTGAACCAAAAACTTGAACACTTCCCTCATTCAGAATACACGCTGCAATCACAAGATAGCAAATTACGTGTCCAAAATACCCTCATTCACACTGACATTCACCAGCAGCTCTCGTCGGAGATGGAACGAGAGGGGATTGTCATCTTTGGCGGAGTGTCCACTGCTCTCTGTGGCATGCAGCATCCTTGGCCTGGGACCAAGTCCACTCTCTCCCAGGGCCTATCTCTAAGATCACCCTCTCTAGAATGAGTGCTTTCCAACATCACCAGAACTCCATGCTCCCCAGTTTTTATCCTGCTAATTTCTACTGGCGACCTTCAATGTCATTTTAATTCCTATGTGTGTCAGTATGGAGAAGAAAAATGGGAAGAAAAAGAGAGCTTTAAAAAACAGAAAGCATTAGGAGACTCAGAAAGATGTTGATATCCATGTTAGAGTATCTTTTTATATGAAGTAGCCAAGATCTTACAACTCTACCTTAAGCAGCAGAGTAATATAAATACTACAGTTACTTAAGCATCCATGAATAAACATTCCATTGTATGATTACGAAGAGATAAAGAAAAAAAACAGAGTCAGAAAAAGAGAGACATGAGAGGGAGAAGGATGGGAGAGAAGAGAGAAAGAAGAGGAAGGAGAAGAAAAGCAAAGAAGGGGAGAGAGAATGAAAGAGAAGGTGGGAGGATAAAAATGGTCAAGAAATGTGCTTTCCAAAAAATAAAATATGTTACTAGATCTACCATCTAATCCCTCTAAAAGTCATATTTATTGTTCAAAGTGTACACAATTTAACAAGTATATCAGAATTAGAGAATCTCAATTTCATTTTAAAAGGACAGTGACCTAGAAGAAAACATTTTATTGATAGTCACATAAAAGTAAAAAAAAAAAAAAAAGGCTTTTCTCTTAAAAAAATTATGTCAGTATTCTTTTCACCTGGTAAAAAAACAAAAAAAAAACAAAAAAAAATGCAAACACGTACAATCTGAAAGGAGCAAAGCTGAGTTCCAAAAGGAGTGGAAAGAGAAGAAACTAATAATGTCAAAAGGAGAAGAGGAGAGAGGAGTGAATGCAAAGGTAGCTGAGAGTAAACAAAGAGAAGAGTGACAGGAAAATACAGGCAACAAGGTTGTAAATTGCAAATTTGGGCTTGGTAATAAAGGAACCTCTTCCTCCTTCAAAACTTGCTTCATTACCAATAGCCTTTATCTCCATGGTTGGCACCACCCTTTACCCAGCCACCCGTTAAAAATGTGGGAGTCTTTAATCTAGCCAGGTCCAGATCTAGTCACCAGCTTACAGCAAATACAAGGGATAGCTGTGCAGATTTTCTCATCAGTCCCTGGCTTAACCCTCCAGTTTACTGGCAGTTTATTGCATACACTATGCTACTTCCTACCTTTGTGCCTTGGCTGTACTGTCCCTGCTAACTATAATGCCTCCAATGATTTTTTGGAGATGACAACTAACATACAAGCAACAAAATAAGAAATAAATAAGTGGACTACAACAAACTAAAAAACTTCTGCACTACAAAAACAACAACAACAACAATCAATAAAAAGACAACTATGAAATGAGAAAAAAAAATGTTCAAACTATCCTATCTAATAATAGAGTGGTATGCAAATTAACCATCACTCCACGACAAAATGGCGGCCCCCATCGCCACAAGATGGCAGTGCCCAGTCCCCTCAGCTCCCCTACTGGAGTGTCCGGTCTGTCTGCAGGAGCAGCAAGGCTGGATCCGTCTCCAGAGGGGTTTTTGATTCGCCCCAGACATGGCAGTCAGAGCCTGGATAGCAGTTAGCCCTGTGGCAGCAGGGAAGCCCCAGGCCCGGCAAACAGAGTGGACAACAGGGCATGAGGACTTCTGTGGCAGTGGGGAAGCCCCCAGGCCCAGCAGTCAGAGCCCAGACAGCAGGGCTTGGAGGCTTCCTTAGCACAGAGGTGGCAGGAACACCTCCAGGCCCAGTAGACAGAGTCCAGACAGCAGGGCTTGAGGGCTTCCTTAGTGCTGCAGTGGCGGGGAAGTCCCTAGTCATGGCAGACAGAGCCCAGACAGCAGAGCATGGAAGCTTTGTTTGCAGGGTGATGGTGGGGGAAGTCCCGAGCCCAGCAGACAGAGCCCAGACAGCAGGGCTTGGGGGCTTCTTTAGCAAGGTGGCAGCGGGAACATCCCCAGGTCCACAGACAGAGCCAGGACAGCAGGGCATGGGGACTTCCTTAGTGTGTCGGTGTCAGCGAAGCCCCCAGGCCTGGCAGACAGAGCACAATGCAGGGCACTGGGGCTTCCTTCACATGGCGCATGGCGAGGCAGGCAGAGAGCAGGGCATGGGGGCTTCATCTCCATGGCTGCAGCAAAACCTCCAGGCTCCACAGAGAGCAGAGAACTAAGGGGAGTGGGCCTAAGCCATCAGTAGGACATCCCCTGAGAGCTGGATTGTAGAGGGTGCAGGTTGGGCTGAGGGACCCCTGGGCACAAATTTCATGCACCAGGCCTATAGTATATCTAATAAGGGGTTAATATCCAAACTATACAGGGAACTCATACAACAACTCACTAGCAAAACAAACAAACAAGCAAACAAACAAAAAACACCCCAAATAATCCAATTAAAAAATGGACAAAGGACCTGAATAGACATTTGTCCAAAGAAGATATATAAATGTCGAATAGGTACATGAAAAGATGGTTTGACATCACTATTTATTAGGGAAATGCAAACCAAAACCACAAGGAGATATCATCTCACACCTAGCATTAAAAAGACAAGAGTAATAGATGTGGGGGGAAAAAGGAACCCTCATGCACTATTGGTAAGATCATAAATTGTTATAGCCGCTGTAGAAAACAGTATGGAGTTTCCTCAAAAAATTTACAACAGAACTACCATATGATCCAACAATTCTATTTCTGGAAATATATCCAAAGGAAATGAAAACACTCCGTTGTAGGATATTATTTGCACCCCATGTTCATAGCAGCACTATTTACAATATCCAAGACATGGATATAAGTGTCCACAGATGAATGAATGAATAAAAAAAAATGTGATACACACAATGAAATAACAAGAAGAAAATTGTACCATTTGCAACACAGATGAATGTTGAGGGCATCGTGTTAAAATAAGCCAGACAAAAGACAAGAGATGATGGGTGTTAACTAGTTACTATGGTAGTCATGTCACAATATATATGTCAAACCATTATGTTGTACACCTTAAGCTACTACCATGCTTTATGTCAATTATAGCTCAATAAAACTGGGGGGAAAAACACTCAACAATGTGCGAGCATTTATATGACTTACTGAACACATCGCCTCTGGGCTTCTGAGGATCTGTCTGTATCCTGTTGTCAACTGTAATCTCTCTTGGTGATGTGGTAGCAACTGGTGCTACAGTCGTCAGTCCGATGATTGGTCTTTCCGGTGTTGGTGGTGGTGGAGGAGGCCTTCTGAGTTCTGTGGGAGGCGGTGGGGGTGGGGGTGGGGTCGGCCATGTTGTTGGCTTTGGCGTAGGTCTTGTTGTTGGCTTAGAAGTGGGCCTGTTGGTAACGACAGGAGGAATATATGGTGTCCTCAGAGGCCACCTAGTACTTCCGACATCAGGAATCCAATTACTGTGTCCTCCATCACCCTTTGAAATGGTACCATTTCCCTTTGGTGGATGAATTGGACCTGAAGGTTCAATCATGACTTTCGGAATATCTAAAAGAGTTAAAATATTTAAATTAGTGTGTAACCAAAAAAGTGAAATATCAAATTGTAAAAAACAAGCATATCAAAATATGTGCCAACTAGATTTATTTTTCACATTTAGAATATCCCCCTACTGTAAATCATGCTGTTTTCCAAATAAAAAATATGTGCATATATGATACACATTCATCTGGTGGGGGAAAGCAAAAATTATATTGGTATTTGTATAATAAAGCTTATTATTTGAAACACAAAAAAAGTTGTGTTTGTAAAGTGAGAACAGATGGCACTCAATGAGATTTTTAAAATGCACAGATGTTCTAAATTTTTAAAATATGAGAAATGTATACATAGAGTCTATATTAAGTGTCCCTATGATACATGTATATCACAAAATCATATTTAGAATTGTCTAAAGACTAATTTCTCTTCCACACTCTATATAAATTTGATTCATGTAAAACATTTCTATTAAATGCTCTACCTATTATTTTAGTTGATTTTTCTTCCCACTTTTTAATTTATATAATTGCTTTTTTAAAAGAAATCTTCAGAGGTCACTAAGATCATCTGAGGAATATTTTTTCTTTATTATCTTCATCAGAAGAAATTAATATTTAATTTGTCTGGTACGATATACTCCTAGGGGAGCATAATCCTTCAAAAATCAAAATCCCCATGATTTTATGCCTCAGGATTTTTAGTAAATATTTTACTGTATTGTTATTGTTATTTGACATGTATGCTAAATTATGGACTTTAGTTTGTAAAATTTTCATCTTGGAGGGTATTTTTTTTTTCATGTATATCTACTAATGTATTCATACCACATACCGATCATATAAAAACTTAAAAAGCAAAACAGTACTAAAGGTAGAGAAAACACATAAATATGGGAATTTTTAAGAATTAGGAGACAATAAAATGAACCAAAAATGCAGAATATATTCAGATTATCCCATTATCATATTCTAGTGCTAATGACAAACATTTACTTCTAATTTTAAGAAAATCAAATTCTCTGGGAGGCCTCTAAGATTTACCAGCTTAAGGGAAGCTATGGAGAAATTTTAGTCAAGCAACTGAATGCTTAGAAAGTATCACCGAGGTCTTTAATTTTTAAAAATACCTGAACAAGGGATTGTTTGTAGAAAGCAGAGACTAATATGACCAGCAATGAAAATTGTACTTTTTTTTGATCAATTAATCATGTTCTTCTCCTTCCCCAATAACAGCCCTTGTGCCATCTAATTTCCTGCTGGCATTCAGAGCTGGAAGACCAGTGCTACTCACACACGCAGCTCAGTCCGTCGCCGTGGTATCCATCTTTACATTTGCACGTGTAGGACCCATGCACGTTGACACAGTGAGCAAAACTGCTGCACTGGTACTGACCCATGGAGCACTCATCTATGTCTGCATCATGAAGTAGGGAAAAGAGATGTTTATTTGGGAGGCAAACAGGATGACATGAAAATACAGAGACAGTTTCAAGAACACTTTTCTGCAATGTGGAGGTCCGTGTCAAACTGGCAGATAAACCAAAGAAATAAAGTGCCCGTGCATCCCGCAGTACTGGGGGCTGAACTGGACTCCTGTTTGTTTAGTGCCAGTGGCCTCCCTGCCCCTGGCATCTCAGTCTTCGGCACAATTAAAAGGCCTTCCCACGCCAGAGGAAGAAACAGGGAAAAGCAAAGACCAGGGTTCCTTACCGTGACACTGGTATTTGCCGCCAATGTACATGAGGTCGAAGCCTTTATGGCACTTGCAGATATAACTCCCAAAAGTGTTGACACACTGCCTAAATCTAGGGCAGGAAACTCTTCCAGTAGCACATTCATCAACATCTGAAACATAAGCCAACTGTATTTTAGGAGCATGTTCCGATGAAGTGTATTTTAAAATAAACAACTGCCTGCAAACGGTTGCCTGGCACACAGTGACTCATCGTAGACATTACCCAGCTGTTGGCCTCACAGGCACCATAAATTCCACATCTCCATCTTTCAATTCATCTTCCTTACCCGGGCTGCCCTCCTACTGCAAGGCATCTTAGCACACACAGCACCTGTACCCACCTAGTTGCTTGAACTGAAACATGAGTCATTCTTGACAGCCCTATTCTCCTTAACGTTGTCATCAGGCCCACTTAATTCTACCTCTGAAAGACTATTTGAATTTGTCTCCTCGTCTCTTCACCCTCGGCAACTACCCTAGTCCAAGCTACCATCTCCCAGGTCTCCTAATTTGACCTTTTACGGCCAAGCTCACCTACCTCCTCCAAACATTCCCACTCATTTATCAAAATAATTTTATTACAGTATATAACTGGATTAGTGCTATGCCTAAAGCTCTTCTACTACTTCTACTTGCTTTCTGAATTAAATTCTCGTTCCTCACCAGGTCTTTGAAGGCATTGTAGTAAACAGCCTACCTCACTGGCTGCAGCTCAAGCCATTGAAGCCACACTGGGGTCTTGTTTACTGCAGTGCTTGTATTGTTTCCACCTGCTTGGCTGATTCTTCACATGACCAATGGCCCAGGTCTTACTCAAGGCTTTCTTTGATTATTATTTTCTAAAATAGACCCTCTCTGCTTCTCCCTCTCTCAGGTCCTCATATTAACACTTAGCATTGTTTGTAATTTTATTGGATTTAAAGGCCTGGTGCATGAATTCATGCACAGGTGGAGTTCAGCTGGCCCACCCCGATTGGAGCTAATTGGGCCAGGCAGCTGGGGGGAGGGCCCATGGAAGGTTGACCAGTTAGCCCCACCCCCAATTGAGCCAGTTGGTCAACCACAGTGCGTGTTATAGTGACTGTGTTATAGTGACTTGGCATATATATTTACTTCTTTGCTTTCTGCACCATTAGAATATCAGCTTTGTAAGGACCAAAACCTTGTCAGTCTTTTCCATTACTGTACACCCTGAAGTTAGCATAGTTCCTAGAGTATAGAAAGTAATCAATAAATGTCTCTTGAATCACTGAATACCTCCCTTCATTGAGTACTTACTATATGCTAAGTTGCTAATCTCTTTCTTTTCCCCCCCCAATATATTTTATTGATTTTTTTACAGAGAGGAAGAGAGAAGGTGAGAAAGTTAGAAACATCGATGAGAGAGAATCATCGATCAGCTGCCTCTTGCACACCCTCAACTGGGGATGTGCCTGCAACTAAGTTACATGACCTTGACTGGAATCAAACCCAGGACCTTTCAGTCCACAGGCCGATGCTCCATCCATTGAGCCAAACCGGTTTCAACTGCTAAGCTCTTTCTGTACTTGAGTTCATTTAATCCTTACAATGGTTCTATGAATCATTACTCCCATTTTAAAGATGACTTTGATTCAATTTCAAAGAAAGAAAGTCTCTTGCCTAAGGTTACATATCAAGTCTATGGCAGAGTTGGATTTTAAACCAAAGCCCTGGCTCTTAATCACAATCCTATATTACCTTCCTAATTTAAAGGGGGGAAATCTAAGTCTTAAATACAAAATACAATCTACCCTGTTTCCCTGAAAAAAGACAGTGTCTTATATTAATTTTTTCTCCCAAAGTTGCACTAGGTCTTATTTTCAGCGGATGTCTTATCTTTCCACGCGCTAGGTCTTATTTTTGGAGGATGTCTTATTTTCGGGAAAACACGATAGCACTATCTACCTGTTCAGTTTCATCAGTCATTGCCCCTTACGTTCCAGAAATACTAAGCTCTGTTTCCCTGAACATTATGCTCCTTGAAACTTCAATGCCTTTGCAGATGTAGTTCCCTCTGCCCGAAGCTTTCTCCTGCCCCTCATTTTTACAAAATAAATAAATAAACAAATAAAAATGTTCCTATGGTCTATTCACAGAGAGGGGTCCTCTTCTGGGACATCTGATATCTTCTAAAGGATGGCTAAGACTTGATGTAAGTAACTGCCTTTTTTCCTTATTCACGTCACCTTTCGCTTTCTTCCTTTCCCTAGAAAGACTACAGTCAGAGAGGCGTGGCTTTATAACTCACCCACACAGGTCCTTCCATCCGGAGCCAGCTGGAGGCCAGGAGAGGGGCACTGGCACCGTATCTGTCCTTTGATAACGTCACAGCCATATTGACAGTTTGCCATGGAGCACGTCAGGCCACCTGGAATGAGTGTGACCGGCTGACTCAGAGAACACACTCTACAAGCGAAACCACTATGTCTTGAACCTGTCCTGAAATCAGCAACACTGACTCAACAATGAAGACAAAAAGGCCTCAATTATTCAACAACCTTCTTCCTCCACGGATCACGAGGATTAAGAAGTGACTCAGCACTGTTGTCATCTGGGGAAGGCCTCTAATGCATTTGAGAAATTCCAAGACAAATGTAAAGCTTAATCTCATGTAGGTTATCTGTGAATTTTTCCAATGGCCAAAAACAGTGGGAAATTGAGGTTATTTTTCCAGATTATTCATGCTAAGTGCTGGTCTTAAGTGAAGCATCCACATAACACATAATTGTGTCAACCTCCCATTAAATTTCTTCAGAGACAGCATATTTCCCACTGAGTTGGGCAATGTTAGAGGAGCTGAGCATCACTGTCACATGTGATTTAACATGAACCCACTTCATTCCAAAATGTCTCATGCTAAGTAGGCCATGCTAAATAAAATTAACGAATATATATATATATAAAACACAACTTAGAGACAGTGAATTATAATTAGATAATTTAACTGATAATTCAGTAAAAATAAAAATCAAATCATCGATTGTGGGGTATCCTATACACATGCCCTCAATTCAATGTTCAGCCAACAGAGGTTATGACGACACCACCCATCTTATAACACATCCAAATGATAGTAGGAAATCTACTTTTATGTTACTGTAATCATTCATTTTTTTTCATTTGAAGTAGATTTTAATAAAAGGGACATAACTTAGTCCTTAGACTATGACACTGAAATGTAAAAATGAAGTGATAAGGTATTTGTGAGTCATTTACAACGGAACAAGCTTGGATTCTCTACCAGCAAATATAATAGTTTAGAGCCCATCTTTATGGGCAGCACAATGGTCCTGAAATAATCACTGATCTTCCCCTTCTTGCTGGAATAGCTCTAGGCCCAGAGTGATGAAAGGGAAAAACATGCTGGGAAAAACATAAGAAAAATATACTTAGTTTTATTCTTCTTCTTCTAAAACCATTTCCAAATCAATTTAACACTGGCACCCAGGATAAAATAATTCTAGCCATCTAAAAGAATTCTAGCCATCAACTCTTCTTTTGATTTTTCAATTGCTTAGGGACGCATACAAGCACACATTCTGTCTGGGAGGCCACGTTCATTCTCACACTACCCGAGCACAACATGAAGGAAGTCAAGCCCAAAGCACTTGTAAAACAATTAAGATTCTTGACATACTTGAGCAGGACCCGTCTGGCATCAGCATGTACCCGTTGAGACAGTAGCACTTGTAGCTGCCGAAAGTGTTCATACACCTGTGCTTGCAGGGCCGCGGCTTCAGGCCACACTCATTCAGATCTGAAAAGAGTGGAAGTTGAAGCACAAAAATCACAAAATGTCCGCACAAATGTAAACCATTGAAAATACTTCTCTATGTTGACAAAATGTAGAAGAAAAGTAGGTCAAGCTATGGTAACCGGTCATTTACATACTAGTAAGGCAGAGCCTGGTCACACTGTCTTAATTTTTAATGCTGGCTACACTAGGGACAACCAAGAGTTTCCTACCCGGGGTGACTGGAAGCCTTGTAACAATGAGGGGCTGTGTGAGTTCCTGGAGCTGGCATTATACAGGACATGTGACTCAGTCCTCTGTGGAGTGTACTGTGCCTACCTCATTCTCCCTAGAAACAGCAGCATACTGACTCCCCATGGTGCTCTGTCATCTGTCTGACCTCAATAGCCTCACAATGTCTGGCGTCTACTACTGGAGTCACTCCTGACAACGTGTTCTTCCAATATCAATTTATTCCCCTTTTAGTTTATAGAAGATATGAGAAAGTATCCGGATTCTAACAGTAGACTGCTTTGAACTTCCCAAAAGAAAGCAAAGTTTCCAGAGGATAAGAGCTTCATGGATGAGAGTGATCACAATTGTGGTCTTCCTTGTTCAGGCTTATAGACTATATACTGATCTCAGATTAAGGAAGGAAATTCTGCTTCCCACTTTAGCAATGTAGTACTCAAATCACAAAATAAACTAAAAAAAAAACCTACAACCCTCCAGTATGTTTTCATTCATTTGGTAGTTAAGAGGGGCATATGGAAATAGTAATGAATAATACATAATTGAATAATACATAATTGACTATCATTATGTATTTTAGGATTATTGATTTAAATACCAATATAACATGAATTAATAAATTGCACATTAGAATTTTCAACCTAAGTCGAACACTGCCTCAAGTGAACATAAATCTCATAATAATATATAAACACTGAAATAGTAATGCCCAAAATATAGATTTCATTAAAAATGCTCATTTGGAACTGCCAATATAAAATAATTACCTATTAACATATGTCATCAAACAGAAATCTAGTTGCAAGTTTAATCTAATCTAATATAAATCTGACCTGTTGTTTACTATAAATTTATATTTCATTTAAGTAAGCCAACTTACATTGCTTTTTAAAACCTGCAAATTATTGCACCTATATTTTTAAAAATATAATTTACCGACTCTCCAAGTTGGTCTTTTTTTCTAACTTTCACACATCTGTAAGCAGGCCTTCAGCTGTGTGAAGCCTGGGAAGATTAAATAAAAGGCAGGTGTCACCCCCCCAGGCTTTATTCAAGTTTATACTGTATTGCATCTTGCCCAGTTAAGGCTATACAAATCAGAACAGCATTTTAGGATATTTCAAAAAAAATTTTCCTCAAGGAAGATGCTTTGCAGATTATAGTATCAAAAAATGTGACTTCTCCCTCTGTTAGAGTAAAAATTTTAAATTAAGAATAAAAGTAAAAAAAAAAATTGATTCCACCTCTCATATTCTTCTACTTTGTATTTCAATATTTATCAAAAATTAAAATCAGAGAATCTTTCCTCTTGTTCTAGGAGGAGTTGATTTTTACTCCTCCTCTCTCCCTGCAGATTCACACCTGGCTTTGATAAATCCCTGACTGATATTATAGAATGTAGTATTTAAATCTGAGTACACTGTTAGACAAAGGCTTTGTGTTTTAAACATTTTTCTGCACTAAACAAAAAGAAAATAGTACAGTACAACAAAACAATAGAGTTAGACCGAATTCCCTATCTCGAGGGAAGGATATTCATGGATAAATAAAAAGTTTCAATTAAGAACCCTGAGGTTTATTTTTAAGGAGCCACAGAAACTTCTGTGGGTTTCCTGATGGGAACCGGTCAGATGTTTACAGCTCCAGGAAGCTTATATACACGGTATTTATGCTGATGGAAATTTCAGACACTGTCTATGGACTAAAGCTGAGGCCTGTGGAGGCAGCCCATCTTGGCCAATAAAGGGCTCCGTGGCATGGCTCTGTGAGACTCCACCGTTCGGGCTGGGACTGCTGGTGCTCTTCAATCCCAAGTGATCCTTCCCTTCCCATGAGAAAAAGTACTTTGCGGTTAAGAACCACAAAATTGAAAGAAAACGAAAAATCAGTAAGATGTCCTAATTTCAAAGGAACCTGGGAATCACTCTGAAACAATATGCAACAAGGAAACATGCATTGTTCAATGGTGGTGTAGAGACATTTGTGGACTACTTTACTGTTATTAAATTGACATGTAAATATCCACATCTGTCGGGAGCAATCTGAGAAAGCGTGCTCTGCCAGCCGCTGACAGTGGTTAGCTCTCCGTGACAGTCCCAGGCCCCGACGTCCACGACTGCCCTTACTCTCCCATCTGCCACAGGCATCTGTCTCCTCAACACTTCGCCAGACCCCCTGCAGAAATTATGAAATATGGTTCCACAATAGCCCATACTTATCAATATTTACCAAATACCAGACTTTGCTCAAGCAGGGCAAAAGCATCCAAGTGATGAACTTCTTTTTCCCTAATTTTTTGTCAGGTTTCCATCCTTGATTATTATATCTTATTTTCTTAGTGACCTAATGCCTTAGAAAACTGAGTCAATATAGGCTGCTTCCAAAAATTTCTTGTAGTACAGAACCACTAACACTTGTGCTCCTGTCAAATTCAGTCAGAAATTCAAAAATGACAATTTCAATTTACAGTAAATGCTCCTATAACAAGTGGAATAATATAAAAACATAAAAGTCTGCTTGATTACATTTTATACGTCTTAAAAGTTAATAAAAAAAAAACCTAAGGAAAAATCTTTAGTGCGTTTATTTTAAATTTACTTTACTCTTGCTCTTTCTCTAGGAGTTTATAATGTCATATAAATTAAAGGAGAAATACTTAAATAATGACTTGTATCATGGACTAATCATACAAAGAACAGAACTTTATCATTAAACCACTTACATTCAAATGCTTTAATGATTAAGTGTGGAATTCTTATAGAGCATCTATAAGTCAGGAGTATACGTAAGCAGGGTGGTGGGCTCAGGAGCTTGGGAGAGGGGGGCAGGGAGAAAGGAGCTGATCTAGAACAAAAATGCAAGCTGCATAGCATTGTAATTACACTTCAGGGGAAAAAGAATAGAAATTTTATTAGCATGCAGACACTGAAAAGTAGCTGAAACTCTCCAAGAGATTCATTTACCTAAGACAACCCAATAGAGGTTTTTTAAGGAAAAACAATTATTTGTTTAATGCGCTTGCACTTTTTTTTCTCTTTGAAACTTAAACTGGGCAATGACTCAGAAGTCTAAGCTTTTACATTTTATCTGACTAAAGTGGAGGTCAGAGGGAAACCGATGTCAATATGTCAACGGCCATCACTTTTAAACTTTGAAGACAGCTGTGACACAGTGACTGAGATGAATCCCGTGGCCCTGGTTTTCTGTGCAGAAGATGCACACGTCTATCAGGTCCCCTATCAGCAGAGAGAAAGAGTAATTTCTCACTTAGAGGATTTTAATTCAGGCATTCTATCAGTGGGTGAGAAGTAACATTTTTTTTAAGGAGAACTGTGAAGGCATGCAGCCACCTAACCTTCCTACGAAACTTTCCAGCGTAATAAAGACACTAATATTTGGGCTGTTTCTGTTCTTGCACCAGCCCTGCAGGCAAATAGGGCAGGAATTACTCTCCCCCCGTTACTAATTGTTTTGCTAACACCCCGGACACATTAAATGACTTCCTCCTTCCAGGCTGTGCTTTCTAATATTAGAAATGTCCACTAAACGAAGGAAGCTAATGTATGTTTCATTCCTGGTAGCCTAACACGCCACACCCTAAGTACAGTGATGAAGAGGACTAGCTCACTTCTAAAACATACTTAGCAAAAGCCCCAATCTCAGCTGCTCTAATATTCCTGACTTCATCTACATATGAAAACAAATGTGATTTTGTTATGTGATTTTTTTAGAAAACATTTTGAAGCCCAGAGAAGAAGAAGAGCAACGACACTTGATGCAGTGAGGGGACAGCAGAGGCTCCAGACTGAGGAGAGCACAGAGTCTGCAGCAGGCGCCGGCCCTGCTGCTGCTTCACATGCTCAGTGCTGAGGCCGGGCGCTCCGGGCTGGTCTTCGGAGCAGGTGCAAGGAGTGACACACTGCAGGAAGCCGTGCAGGTGGGAGGAGCAGACTCCCTGAGACAGTGCACGCTCACCCCTTGAAGGTAAACTTGTGGCTTGCGGATCCGGGGGTTGGAAAAGAGGCTGCTCACTGCCTTGGTCAAGAGGAGTTGGGTAGGCATGTTCGTCTTCACACCAGGAAGAAGGTAATAAGAGTCAACTTTGAACTGATGTCATGCTTAGCCCTAAAAATCTTTATAAGTATATATTAAATAATTACATAAAGTTGGTGGAGTTCAAAAAGAATACTTTACCAAAAGTAGTTTCTAGTTTTTCCAGATTCTCCCTTTTTAAAAAATACTTACTTTCCTGAAAATTTATCACCGCCATCTTTCTTCCCAAGAACACACACACACACACACACACACACACACACACACACACACTACAAGTTAATCCATCATTCTCACATAAACTTAAAAGGGAAAAAACAGTAATAAAGAGATAGTCATTTTCAAAAGCATGATTTTAATTATCAACAATGAGAGAAAACCAAAAGAACAAACAAACAAAGATTATACAAATATTGATTATAAAAAACCTGCTCTGTGTCAGGATCCTGAAGTCTTAAATGACCAACTTAAGACTTTTTCTTATTATGTTGCACAATAGTTTAAAATACTCTAAAGTTATACACGAAGTTATGATTTAAATAAAGACCTTATTTAAAAAGATAGCATGAGAAGCCCCAGTCGCCTAATGGATAAGGCATTGGCCTCCTAAAAAGATAGCATGATCAATGCTTTCACTCAAATATAAAAACTTACATTACATTTAGGTCACATTTAATTAGAATATCCACAGAAGTTTTCTGCAAAAAAAAAAAATAAAGTAACTGTTCCCATGGTTAGCTTATTAAAAATATTGTGAGATGGGTGAGATTCAAAAGTAGAGAGTCAAAAAGGCACTCATATCCTATTTCAAGACTACTGCATTGGTAACAGTGAAACTTACAAATTAAATGAACATTGGTATCTGGGGTAAAATCACACAACCTTCATAAAGGTAAAGCTATAAGAAGCTACCTTGATATGAGGGTTAATGCATGTAAGGCTGCTGTGCTGAGAAAAGCAATCATCTCTGAGAATGAACTAGTCCACCAATGTTTACTGTCTGATTATGTGCTACAAGACACTAATTCTTTTCTCAGGATGAGGAATTCAACATATGACACATGAACCATGTCAAAACATTAGCAATTTATATTTATAAATTGTTTCTTCTGTACTCATTATAAAGCACACTATGAATTCAAACGAATCTCTCTCCTGGAAAAAAAAATGCAATGACATGATATATTCCAGGCTAAAAATAGTTCCCTAGAGGGAAAGTTATAAAAATATTATTATCTCTACTAGTATCCTTTCTTGGCTGAAGTGGAAAGGGGATTTGTATGGGTACGTAGAGACTCAGGGAGGGAGGAACTATGCAAGAATAAAATTACCAGAGAAAGATGAAAAAAAACAACAACAATCTTGCCATAGTTCTGGTTAGAATTTCACCTAGAATTTCACCATGTACCTTAGAGAATATGATAATGATCAGTCCATGCCTATGGTTTTATATGTGATCCAACTATAGCAATCCAGAAAAGGACCCATGGGGAGCAAGTCACCAAGAGCAGATTACACTCATCTTATGTCGGGCTATTAAATGAAGCCAGTTCCAAAGTGGGCCTGCCCTGCTATCTTGGCTGCTCCCCAGGCTGCTCCAACAGCGCTCAAGTGCTTGTCATTTGTCATGCTGTCCATGCAGCCAAGCAAGCTCGCAGGGAACGACTTCTTAAAGTACACAATTTGCAACAAACTTTTAATGCAGATCCATGCCTTGTACCCAAACCAACTTTTAATCAAAAGCTCATATCTAGTTCTGGGAAGATTACTTCAAGGTACCTCTTTTTGACATTTCTCTCCTCAAGAAAAAAGAAACTTATGTTTTCCACTGTTTTAAAATGTATGGTCTAGATCAAAAGCCTATGCTAGTTTGTTATGGAGACAGAGCAGATATGGATCATTTGCTCTATCAGCGTTTCTGGGGGCCTCTTGACAGCTCTCCGAGTTACCCAGCTCACTGAGGGCAGCTTCTCACAGGGCTCGTGTCCACACGGTAAGAGGCTAAGGTACCAGACTCCTCCATGGGGCTGTTTCAAGTTCCCATAGCTTTCAGGACCAAGAACTTTTGTATGAAATAGTCACTCGCTTGATAAATATTTACTGTGCACTAATCATGTGCAAGTCATTTTAATAATGTTTTCAGGAACCCAGAAATCAGAGAGACAATACAAAGGGTTCCATTCTCAAAAGGAATACATGTACTTCTCTCCATCAGGAACTTGCCTAATCGCTGTTTTGGAAAGTAAGGCCACACGAAAGATGAATGAAACATATTCATAGTCACTGTGAGCTGAAGCTTTCTATTCACAATTGGATTTGAAATGATATTTTCAATGTCAGCACTGTTTTTGCAGGTGTAAAATCCCACTTTGCTACTAACGGAATCCTTTTCCCCCTAAGGAAGAGAGTTTTGGGAGGCAAGATTTCAACTCAATATATTTCAATTTTTCTTTAGAATTACTGAAAAAAACAACAACTGGTTTTTCTAAAAACAAGTGCATGGTGAACTCTTTTTTTCTAATAATAAGTATATGGTAAACTGGTTTTCTGAAAATAAGATATACTCAGAAATGAATCCTTGTTCCAATAATAGCTTGAGAGTCAAAGCACATTAAAGTTGATGATGCTCTGCAAATAAATTTAAATTAATTTTCTCTGCAACCTCAACAGCAGCAATTTGGAAAAAATCTTCTTTGTATAAATTCCTGGCATCAGGACAAGAACTTTTATGGTGCTGACATATTAATGAAATCTCTGGTGACTTGTGCTCATCACTTTTAAAGAAGAAGCATGCTGGGACTCTAAGATGAACACTAACAACTCAATAATTAAAACCAAACATGCTGCTACTTGAGAAAGACAGAAGACAGAAAACCAAATGGATTTTTAAAAGAGTAAACTGAGATAATAAGAACCCCATTTATCTAAAAAATACTACCCAGGTATGTCAGGTAAGTATCGAGTTAAAAAACATTATTTGAAAAGAAGCATTGGAAAAACTTAGCTATCAATCAAATAGCAGATAATCTAGAAGACTCTAGAATAACAGCTTGTCCTACCATTGGACATGTCATATTTTACTAGCATGGATTTCACCCAGCAGTGCAAAAACAATTAGATATACCTGCAAACACCAGTGTTCTGGATGTTGTGAAAACTATGGCTACAAACATGAGTTTATACAGCACATCTCAAGGAGTATCAGATACTGAAGAACAAGAGTGTTTCAACAATATCATCTCTGTATCGGGTGAGGTGAAGTTCATATCTATGAGAAAATTAGGCCCCTACATGATCGTTTCATTTGACAATTTAAAATGATAGGGAGTACTGTTTTAATAGTAAGTTAAAAACTATTTTATCCTTGTATCTTTCTAGTGAAATCTAGCCATACTAGTACATTTTCTTAGCTGAGGTGGAAAGGATATTTGTACATCTGATTTTGTTGGTTTTGTATGTGTATGTGTGTGTTGTTGTTATTCTCCTGATGGTAGAAAGTTTTTGATTAAAAAGACAAGCTTTGTCAAACTTGTTAGCATGAATCAGAGGATCACATTTCCAATGATATTTTCTTCATCCAAAACTAAATTGGTAAAAAGAACATAAATTCTATAGACAATAGCTCTAAGTTGATATAGCAAGGTCTTTTACTAATTCTATGAACTTGGATAAGACACTTAATATCCCTGATATCACTTCAACTAAACAATGAGGTAATACGTTTTTAATAACTTGATTATAATAAATATTCTATCTCCTGATGTTGTTGTAATAATAAAAACAGATAATCTATGTAAAATACCTGGTGTACTTTTAGTGCTAAATAAATGTTTGCTTGCCAAGACTGGTTTGGCTCAATGGATAGAGCGTCGGCTTGGGGACTGAAGGGTCCCGGGTTCGATTCCGGTCAAGGGCATGTGCCTTGGTTGCGGGCATATCCCCAGTAGGGGGTGTGCAAGAGGCAGCTGATCGATGACTCTCTCTCATCGATGTTTCTAACTCTCTATCTCTCTCCCTTCCTCTCTGTACAAAATCAATAAAAAATATATTAAAAAAATAAATAAATAAATAAATAAATAAATAAATGTTTGCTTGTATAAGTAACTGATGCCAATTAAAAGTAACTTGCTAATAAATTCATTAAAATCTTTATTTCTCAGGGAAACACTGCAAGCTGGTCAACAGTTAAAGGGAATTTAATCACAAAATAGAAGGGCTCAGAGTTTGAAGGGACCTCAGAATTTCAAGTCAAACTGTTTTCGCCAAATTGGGTCCAAGGAGCCTAACAGTTTGCTAAGGCTCCCCCACTGGTGAGTGGCAGAACAAGCAGCAGCAGAATGTAAGGCTCCTAACATTGCTGACACTGCGATTCTCTTTTGCAAAGTGCATTTTAATTACTAGCAGTGAATAAGGAGATGGAATTCTTTTCATTGTCCTGCGATGAAATAAATTCTAAAAGATTTACCGCTATTATATTTCTATCTTTCAATAAATGCAGTTAAATATGCAGAACAATCGTCAAGGAAAACTGTCCGGGCGTGAGCACTTCACATTGTTATATCAGGCAGGAGTAGAGGGGGCTCCTGATCGTTCGCTGTGTCACACTCTCCCTACCTTGATTGCAGGTTTTGCCCGCATATCCGGGGTGACACTTGCACTTGTTTGGTCCGATACATTCTCCGTGTTTGCACTGTGGTTGGCACACAGCTGTGAAAAGAGAATATCATGCATTATTTCTAGGTCAGCAGAACATCAACCATATAGTATTCACGTCATGTACTAGCTTAGCAATAAGAAAAAACAAAACAAACAAACAAAAAACATGCACCTTAGAATGTATAAAAGAGTAGCAGAAATATACAAAATCACTGTGTTATGGAGTTGTAAGCACTGTCTAAAGAACACATTAACACACCCGTGTTATATGCATGTGTATGCATGTGTGTATCACTTTGGGCTGAAAAATTGGCAGAATTTGAGGTCAATACTCTACCAGTCAGAAAAAATATGTAAAACTATGCATAAACACAACTGGTGTTTATTAATAGTTATAACTTTACAATAACCTGTACTCGTAACTTCAAACTCATTCTCTCAAATACCCTTCAAGTCTATCCAGTGTGGCTCAGTGGTTGAGCATCAACACATGAAACAGGAGGTCTGGGTTCTATTTGATAAGGACACATACCCAGGCTGCAGGCTAAATCCCCAGTAGGGGGCGTGCAGAAGGCAGCTGATCAATGGTTCTCTCTCATCATTAATGTTTCTATTCCTCTCACTCTTCCTCCTTTTCCCTGAAATGTATTTTTTTTAAATACACTCAAAAAAGGTGTTCTTAATCCAAAGATATTAACTCCAGATAAGTTGTTTGAAGTCCAGATAAATTTCTAATTAAATAATAAAATACTATTTTACTGGAAACAGTATTCCTAAGTATAAAATGTTCAAAATAAAATAAACACTGCAACTCAATCTTTTTTGGAATTTCAAGTTAAGAACACCTCTGTCATCTTGATCTTTCTTAACTTTAGGTGGATTGCTATTGCTCATCAATCAATAATGGCTTTTCTATGGCCTATCACAGTAAATAAAAATAGCTATTTTTCATTTACTATCTTCTATCAACTGAGTTTGGCTTTCCACAAGACCCCCAAAAAGTGCTATAAAATCATCATTTAAATTTTTCACAGTCTTTGATTCCTGCCAAGATACTGCTTAGAATTTGTTCTGTTTACTCTCTATCAGAGATTCTCAGCTGCGGGGATTTCTGCCCCCATGGGACAACTGGCATAAATGGAGACATTTTGGTTGTCACACTGGGGAGAGTGTGCTCCTGGCATCTAGTTGGTACTGCTAAACATCCTACAATGCTCATAGAGCCCGTTGCCCCTCTTACCCCCCAAAACACACAAATTATCCAACCAAAACTGTGATATTGCCAGACTGAGAAACCTTGCTCTTTACCAACTATGTGCAAGGGCTAGGCCAGATACTAGAACAGAGAGAACACATTGTATATAGTGTGGTCACTGGTATCAAAGAGCTTACAGTCTAAATGAAGGGACAAAACAAGCATGTTTTTAATTTAAGGCAACGTTTGCTTATGAACAAAATAGGTGACACATACAAAATGTGTAAAGAAATCATCACGCAAGCATATCCAGTAGAGAAAGCCTTGTAGAAGAGGCTTGAGTTGGAACTTGAAACTTGGGTAGAAAGAAAAGGGAGATGACTATCAACGATAAGGAGAATTGTGCAACAAACTAGACCATTTATTAGGGGACACTGAGGAGGCTTGGCAAGCAAAAAAGAGAGAAAGTGTGTGGGGGGGGCAGTGGGGGCGGGGGGAGGAGGAGTAAGATAAATGCTGGTAGAAAAGTGAGAAGTAGACAATCATAGGTGAGCGGTATCAGATGATGATGTTCCCTCAATTTCAGATGGAGGAATATACACTTTATCTATAGAAAATGGAAAGTTTAACACCGTCAGCAAAACTAACAGATAAAAATCAACACTCTGGGAATATGTAGAAAGGACTGGAAAAACTCCAGTTGACATGAGGAAAGAATGATTTGTTTTTGAGACAGAAGAGACGGGCTTCAGTAACCAAAGTGAAGAGCTTACACGTCGTAAAAACCAGAGGGAATTGGGGTCAATGGTGCCCCTGAGTTCTCGAGTCCCCAACACCTGTTCCTTCCCCTCTTGGCCCAGGTTATTCTCTGTTCTGGGATATGCTCCCAGTTTCTGGCAATTCTCAAACATCATTTCCTTTAAAGCTCTAATATTCCTGTGAAGCTGATGTGAAGGTTATTTCTGGTGTTTTCTACACTTCCTGACTCGCCCTCACTAACCCTCCCCTCACCTGGATTCCACAGGCCTATCTGCCAATTTTACTCCCAGTCCTTTCCTGCCCACTCGTCACTTCAACTGGACCCTGTACCACGAATGACCCTTAGACAGTGCTGCTCAGTAGGGATTTAATCTGAAAGCTTGCAGAAATAAAGGCGGGGAAAAAGTGAACAGTGTAAATGGCAGAGAAATGTGCACGTTTAAAATCTGATGTTAGACATGGCATGAAATTCAAACGGGAGCCATTTTTTTTTCCTTCAGAACTGTAAAAAGAAATGGACTATCTCGGAGTGCCTTCCAATATAATATTTCAGTCAACTGTACATCTGATAGATGGTTTAGATGCAGTTTTTAAAACAAGTCCCACAATAAGCCATTTTTTAAGTAACTTGCTAGTCCCATCACCAAGAAATGCAAGTTGAAAAGAATTTTTGTTAAACTAAAAAAGAAAAAAAAAGATTTTTCATAAATCTTCACAATTATATATATAAAACAACCTGAATAAATCAGGTATGTTTGAGGCACCCAGAATGCTATATTAAAAAAAAAAAAAAAGAGTAAAAATCTCAAAATCAGTAAATGTAAGTGAAGATAATCACCTCTCAAAATAAAAGGAATTTGAAAACATCTCTAAAAACATGAAAAAGTCCTTTAGAAAGTACCACTTAAAAACATGAAAAAGTGTATTTGCAAGAGGACACTTTATGAAATAATTCCGCCCATTGCCTTCTGACCCCCTGACCAGCTCGATGACTATCCATTTATAGTGCTTTCAGGCCCTTCACAGGAACAAAAGTTTCTATTGTCCCCTTCCCCCTCGTTGTTTGTTCTCCATGGAGTGCCCCTAATCTTGGGCACATCAAATGCACACATTCCAGGAGGCCAAGGATGTTAATGTTTCCTACACGTGTAGGGAGTCAGTATTTTCAAACGGCTGTTTGCACATCTACCCGACAGACCATGCACCGAAGTAACCAGTGACCTATTTATTCGTCAACAACCATTAAATGAGATAGGGTAGTCAAAAGTTGATATAACCATTTTGTCCCCTTACAAAAAGAAACTGCCTCTTTAAAATGTTGTGTAAAAGTCCTTTCTCCTGTTACCTTGCTGGCATGAGTCTGCAATGGAATTCAATAAATATGTATTCAACACTTGTTATATCTAATGTAGTCTACTTAGCCAAGTGTGGATGAAATGAGAGCCACAGAGGTTTATAAAAAAAATAAGGATGAAACTATAATACATTGGCCAAAACGGAACAAGAGCTGCCACAGAGAGGTGAGATAAAAGGGTGGGGGAGCAGATAATCACTGACTAGGTTCTGGAAAAGCCTCCTGCAGGAAATGCAATCTGAGCCATGCCGTAGAGGTAACTAAGAGGCAGAGACACTGGGGAGGGAGACGAAGCCTTTGAGAACAGAAATAAAGTACTGGGGACAGACAATGGAGAAGGTTCTAGAGAGCCGAGTGCTCTAGTGAAGCTGTCACATGAAGCTCTCACAGGAAGTGCTTAACCAGCAGATGGGAACCAAAGACAGGCTAGGCAGATCATAAAAGGCAGAAACTGCCGAAACCGGTTTGGCTCAGTGGTAGAGCGTCGGTCTGCAAACTGAAAGGTCCCAGGTTCGATTCCGGTCAAGGACATGTACATTGGTTGTGGGCACATTCCCAGTGGGGGTTGTGCAGGAGGCAGCTGGTCGATGTTTCTCTCTCATCGATGTTTCTAACTCTCTCTCCCTCTCCCTTCCTCTCTGTAAAAAAATCAATAAAATATATTTAAAAAAAAAGGCAGAAACTGCACAGTGCTTACAAGCATGTTTTTCCATCTTCTTTATAATAGACTGCCTTTTTTTTCTTTTTTGCATGGGGGATGGGCTCTCCATGGCATGTATGAGTAGGCGAGCAACCAAATTCTGGCCAATTACATGTGAACAGAAGTTATGGGGTGGGGCGTTTGCAAAGCTACCTAAAAAGGTCCTGACTAGGATGCCTCCTCTGTCTTCTTGCCTGGAATATAGAATTCACAGTGACCTAGAGAGGTCACTTCCTGGCCACAAGGTAATCTTGAGAATGGAAAAGGGGGTGGAGCAAGATGTCATAATATTAACCCTAAATTGCCATCCTAACAATCTGGGGTACTCTGCTTTGTGTCACTGTATTTGTACTTGCAGCCAAATACATTTCTTAACTGACTATCCTTTAGCACAAGGGTGTGGAATCTTATTGTATGTTCATTATCAAGTTGGCACATATTTCCTCTGGATACACACACACACACACACACACACACACACACTCTGCATAGAAATGAGCAGATCCTAGGAAAGCAATATAATTTGTTAAATTTATTTCATATATAATGCTATAAAATTATAGAAGTATCTAGAAAACATTACTTCTATATCTAAAGAATCAGATTAGAAAATACATATCCATATTGACACTGGAGAAAAACAATTTCAACTTCTGTGTAAACTGGTCTGCCCTTTGATAACCCACTCCACTGTAATGTGAGCTCTCAGGAGCTGGCCACACACACCAACCTTTACAACCTGCTGTGCAGCAGGCCAGGAGAAGAAAAAGAATGTGATACTTTCTGGTGGTCCATTTTAGAGTGCTCTAAAAACATCAAAAATAAATAATTTGATTTGGAGGAAATACCATATCTATTGTTGCTGCAAGTTAATCAGAAAATGCAGCATTACTTCTCTGACCTACACATTGACCAGGGATAAGAATTCTGGGCCATGTGTGATGGTCCACGGTTCTCTGGCCTCCACATATGGTTTAGCAGCTCAATAATACAAAAATTAGGTGAAGCAAAGTCAATGAATGACAGATTTTCTTAACCCCAAA